TCCCTGCCGTACCTGGCATGCCTTGCACTTGAGCAAACCTGATTGCCTGAGACATGGCCACCCAGAAACCCCCCAGGAGGGAGCTGTTCCTGGCATGGGGGGCTGGACTGAGGCTAGGAGCATGAAATGAGCTGTTGGAACAGTTTGGAGAGCGAGTGGGAGGAGGGTTGCAAATATGAGGGAAGAATTATGATGGATTTATCACAGCCTGAAATGAATTAACCTCTGGGAGGAATGATTTTGTAATAATTTGCATTTAGATACTCTGACACAGCCACATAACCCCAAACCTTCTGCAAACATTGTAATTAATTCAATCTCCAACATCCTGTGAGAGGGATAGAAATAGCACCATTTACATGGTTAAAGGAGCCAAGGACTCTTCTCTCAGTATTGCATTTTACACCCCTGTGACTGTCCTTCTGTCTTGTTTCCAGAGCCTCCTGGTGGGGCGAGAGGCAGGAGCAGTGAACAGCTGGAGAGCTTTCCTGGGCACAGCTAGCTGAGCTCCTGGGTGTTACAGCACACAGCCCGTGGCAGGGAGCCCATGGGCAGGGCACAGAGGCTGGGGCACACAGCAGAAGAAGCAGGAGCTGACCTGTCAAAGCTGAGCCCTGTCTCAGCTCCTGGTAGTGGTGGCTGTGGGCAGGGCTGTTCCCCTGCAGGGACCCTGGGCCTAACTCCATCCCTGAGTGGGAAGTGGTCAAGTGGTTTAATATTCAGCACTCTGAAGTGCAGTAATGAATTTAATAGCCAGAATGATCTGCTAACCCAGCCAGCTTGAGAGGGTGTTTCAAGGACAATCCAAGCCTGTAGCTATGCAGTGGGATATTCTCTTGTCATCAGCCTCCTGCCTATTCCTTTCCATTCCAGGACAGTTAATCATAAATGAGATTCTTGCTTGATGCTGTTTTCCTGCCTGCTCTACCCTGTTTCCATTTCCATTTCCATGGGACTGTGGGTGGGTTACCTCCCACCCCAGCTTCAGCAGCTTTTGCAGGACAGCTGGCTCTTCCAGAGAGACCCACATTGAACATCACACTGTGACTCTTGAAGGCGTGGGCAAGCTGATTGTTTTCAGAGCATCTCAAGGTGCATCTTCTCTTACTTACAGATGTGCTGTATAAATCTAGGGTTCTCTGGGCATGACCCAGAGCTGGCCTAGGTAACTGGAAGCGTATCCGTCATCCTCCAGGAGATTTGAGCAGCCCCCCCTTTGCTGCCAGTTTATTTTTGCCATGCCTGTCTGCTTTCTGCAAAGCTCTTGCCGGGGTGGGAGCACATGCTGTCCAACAAGTGGTGAGCAACAGGTCAGCTGCACACAGGGAGAACTTGTGTGGCACAGCAGCAGGCAGAGGACACACCCTCTATCATGGACATTTACTCCTTGTAAAACACCTCTGGCTCTCTGTAGTTATCTGGAGATATCTCCTGCCAAGTGAACCCAAAGATATTTATAGTGCAAGCTTCAGCAATAGGACAAAGGCAGGTTGGCAAACAAAGGGACTTTGAAATATAAGGAGAACCAAAATATGCTCTGGAGCACATTTATTTTGGAATCCATAGAAAAAGGTTAAAAAATAATAGTGAATGTTTCCAGGGTGGGTCACGTTAAAAAGCAAAGAAAGCAGAGCATGTTCACAGTGCTGTAAGACTGTTCTGTGTGTGCTGAGTTTGAGTTATAGAGATAAATAATAAAAACTTTGCTTCCCACTGAGATGGAGTGTGGTGGTGCTGAGCACCACACAACACCTGCTGAGTACCTTACAAACACCTGCAGAAAGCGAAGATAAATGCTGCTTCAAAAGGAATTGAAGCTGCTTGGAGCTCAAGAATGGAAACAATTCTATATTCAATTCACAAAGTTGTGTAAAATTAACCAATTTCAGCTATGGGTGTGATTTCCCCCTGCTTTCTGCCTGTGTTTCCCAGTCCCCTGGGCTGTGTGGAGGCTGTGGTGTCGCAGCAGGGTTGGGGCCATCCTGCTCAGACATGCTGTGCCTCGCCCGGGCTGGGAGCGCACAGAGCGCTGCCTGGACGTGTCCCAGTTTAATTAACACAGCTCTCCCCGCTGCTGCTCCTCAGGGAGCTCAGGCACGGGGCTCTTCCTCCCCTCCTCTCCTCCTGGAGACAATCCCTGCACCTTCCCCTTGGTTTCTACAGCCTGTGCAGGGAGCCTGCCTGGAGGGCAGCTTTGGTGAACGCATGCTGTCTCCTTGCAGGGACATCCATGTTTGCTCTCCCAGTTTCAGGCCCACCTCCTGCCTGAATCCTGCTTGATCAGAGATCCCCAGGGTTCCACTGATTTGACTCAGTTTCCCAAAGCAGGGCGTTTGTAAAGGGCTGTTGGAGGCTTTGCCTGAGCCTGCCAGCCCTGGCGGGTAATGGCGCCCAGAGGAAATGGCGGCAGTGCTCATGTTGTGGAGTGTGAGGCCTCTGAGCATGGCCAGGACCTCACCACCACAATTTACCATCAACTGGTGAATTCACCATCAGCTGAGGAGGTAAAGGGCACTTCTGGAAATGGCTGGGATCCCCTGGGATCCGTTTCTTTGTTGATTGGCTTTTCAGAGAGGCCAGGCCCTGTAAAGGCCTCGATTTGTCCTGAGGGCATCGAGGCCCTCATGGACGGATGCATCCCACAGTAAAACTGCTGTGCACAAAGCTTCCGTCCTCGCCAGAAATCCTGTGGCAGCAGAAATGGGATGGAAAAGGCCGGACAAGAAAAAAGTTTTTGTAATTTGCCGTGACAGGAATCAAAGCCATGTCTTGTCAAAAAATTCCAGCTCCCTTTTCCTGCCTGTCTGTCACATGTCAGCAGCCCTGACGCTGTACAGATAAATAGAGCTCTACAGAAGGAAGCCCAGGGAACGACTCAGAACAATCCAGTGAGGGAAGGAGAGGCTCAGGCAAACCCTGAAACTGAGCTTGCATTTGGTGTAGCATGTAGCCCCACATTTCTCTTCACAGAGAAAAGCAAGGCACAGTTCTTCCCAATATTCTTACCTCATTTGCTGTGCCTGTGTTTGTGCCAAAGCAGAATGCAATATGGAGATTGTTTACCCACAGTGATGAGGTTTTGTTTCCTTGGCCTGTCAGGGCTAGATGTGTGTGTGTGTGTCAGGACTGTTGGTGACAGTCACCTGTGCAGTTCTGTGCAGGGTTGAGTGCTTGGCAGATTCAGTTTAGATGTAATGTAACATAGTGTAATATAGTATATATTAGAATAACATAGAATAATAAAGTAATTAGTTAACCTTCTGATAAGATGGAGTCAGATGCATCATTCTCTCCCCTCCTCAGGGTTTGCCTGTGAAATTCAATAGTGGCAAGCATGGAGCCACATGATATTTATATTTGACTCTTGAGGTTTTACATTGAAGTAAGATGCTTCTTTTCCTGCTGATTTGGGCACTCATGGGGACAGAGAGCAGGCACAAACGGAGACAGGCAGCCCCAGGACACACCACCCTGACACTTCTCTCAGCTGGCAGCACAACACAGGGCTGGAGATGGGAGTTTCTCTCCTACAGAAGCTGGTGAGCAGCAATTTCTGTCACATAGACAGGAGGCCTGGCAGTGCAGATGCCCATGGTAACCCGTTTGCCAAGGACAGGCTCACCCCACACCCTGCAGAGGTTGCTCAAGGGTCATCTGTGAACAGCCCAAGGACCAGGAAAATACAAACTCATCCTGAATGGCTTCTGCCTAAAATACATCAACTACAGAACACTCCTGTTGGTCTAAGGCTGCTAATGAGATAACTTTAACAAGGGTAGGACACATACCCAGTTTCAGAGACCCTTTACCACCCATTTTCTAAGAGCTTTTTACACTGGAAATAGCTAAGGACTTTATGGGTAACTCTGGAGGCTGTGCAGGTTCAGGATTTGAAGCTGTTTAGACACACAAGATAAAACAAAATTTTAAAGATGTTTGGGCTCAGCTGTGACATTAAGACAGCAGTCCTGTAAAAGTGCCAGCAAAATCACTGGCAATCCAAATCATATTATCTTAAATATGGTAACTGCTTGGTAATTGGTTTATCTCAGAACATGCTTGGAACAAGAGGGATATTTTATTTAATTTTTTTTAATAAATGTTTGTTTTCATTCAAATGAATTCTTATTGCTTGGGTAAGGAGAAACATAGGGTGTGTTTGCAGGTGGTTGTGTTTTTGTAAGGACTCATAAGAACTTGAGCAATTATTTTTTAAATGTTGCTGACTTTGCCTAAGTGAGCACTTGCTTCTCCACGGTAAAGAAATTGCAGAGGGCAGGAGAAGCTCCACACTGGAGAATTTTTCAATTTGACTGCTGAGTCCTCTTACCTTTCCTGTTCTTCCTTATAGCAAAAGTGATTTTCAATCAGTGATTGTCAGAGCAACCTTTTTTGGGGTGGTCTTGTCTCTTTCCAGGAGATAAATTTTTCACTGAAAATTTCAATGCATGTGGAGGGGAATTAGCCAAATTCCACTGACATTCATCACATCTCTGTCTCCTGAAAACTTTCCACTAGCCTCACCTCTCTGCTTAAGGAAATGCCTTCTCAGGCTACATTTGGTAGGGCAGGGAGCACTTTGGAGTTGTTTCTTTTTTTCCTTACAAAGCAGTTTCAAATGGCTGTGCTAATGTACATATTAAGTCTAATGAGTACAGCTGTCATTTAATCAGACTTTCATGTCTTCTGGGATTCTAGGCAGAGATGGATTCTAGGACAGACTTTGAGCAGGAGATTTTCCCTTCTCCTTGCTCCAAATATGAATTTTTTTTCCTTGCTTTTTCTTCCCTCACAGTCAACAATGAGAAAATGTGTGCCTCTATTGATACAAACCACTGTATTAAAGCAGAAGAACTCAAATTAGGTGGTAAATTTGACAGAAAGACCTGATGCAGATCCATGTCATCAGGAAGCTGGGATATTTTTAAGCTGAGATTGTCCAGCATTAAGTTCTCCCTTTCCCAGATCTGGCCATTAAACTGCATTTTCTCTCATTTCAGGGGAGCACCTGCGGATCTGCCCACAGGGCTACACCTGCTGCACCAGCGAGATGGAGGAGAACTTTGCAAACAAAAGCCGAAGTGAATTTGAAGCCATGATGAAGGAGGCTGGTCGCTCTGTGCAGGCCATCCTAACAGCACAGCACAGGAGCTTTGACAGTAAGTAAAACCTGCCTGCTTCCTCTGCTCAGGATCCACTCACTGCTCACTTTTCCAGGCACTGTTGGAGCCAGGAGTTGTGTTTGACACGTTTTTCTCTGCATCTCACTCAACACTTTGTGTGAAGCATTGAGCTGCTGGAATTGTAGGAGTTGTACCTCTGGCAGTAAGACCAAGGCATTTTGAGATCTCCATTTGAGAGCAGCCACTGGAGGAGGCTGGCAGACCCTGGTGTGCCTTGGCACTGACACAGCTGGGACAGGCTGAAATCAGCTCCTGCCACAGCACAGTAGCATTTGAGGCAGTGATGTAAAACCTGGCACTGTGCCTTGAACTGTAAGCTGAACAATATTGCAAAGGTGACTGGATAGCCCTAAGTAGGTGGGGAGAGTTTAAGGAGTCATGGATTTTTCTTGCCCTTTCCATGTAGGTTGCAAGTGAAAATAAGGTTAGTACGTATTGGATCCTATAACTGTCAGTTTCATACAAACATCAGGAAATGTTACAGAGCAGGAAAGCTCTTAGAGATTGTGGTACATAAGATGTTGTGGAGAAACATTCTCTCCAAAGTCCAGTATCCCTCCTAACCTAAACAAAGGCTAAGGATGGCTCTCCTACTTTTATTGTTCCCTGAAAAATCCATTTTGCAGTGCACAGTGAGCCTGGAGGTCTGAAGGCCACTGTAAATAAATGGTTTACTGACAAAATTGAGATGACCTGTGATTCAGAAACTGTATCCATTATCAGATTTTGAAGAAGGTCAGACACTTAGAATCATGGCCCTCCAAACTTTATCAAACAGTCATCATCATGGAGTTATCGTGAAAAGGAGTTGGGAAAAGAAGCTGTAATAGCCAGAAAGGTGGAACTGGAAATTCAAGTAGTAAATAATAGATCTAAAGAAATAAGCCTGACCTTCAGGCTTATAACCAAGATGATGAAGTGCTTTTACACTAAATAGGAAGAAAAGGCAGTGCATCTCTGCAAAAGGCATTGTGTGCGTGGCCAAGGTTGGTCACAGCAAAGGCATTCCTTTATAAGCTCAAAATTAATTGATTTTCACCTGCTTTAAAAGGTGACAATCAGGATTTTTCAAAGAGCCTGACAATGGTGGTTGCTCAGACTGATGTCTGAATGGGACCTGACGTAGCTGCTGCTGAGCACAATCCCCAAGCTCTGAAATCCTGCCCTCCACAGGGGTTAGTGCTTGGCACCCTCTCTCTCTGCTCCCTGTCACTGCACTGGCTGTTGTATCTGCTCTTTATTTTCACCACAGCCACTCCAAAGAGTTCTGCATCTGATATGTAAGGGAGTGCAAAATTTGATGGAAGTGTTGAGGATTATACTAATAAGCAGAAATTTCCTAGTGGGGACCTGGTTTAGTCTAAGTGTGATGTTTTGGTGGATTAATAATAATAATAACAACAGCAGTAAGAGTAACAGTAAGCAAAACAAAGTATGTAAAAGGGGGATGTTTGTGTTGTCAGTTAGAGTAATTTGGTTTTATTCCCCAGTATTTTATTTTATTTTAGTTTTATTCCCCACAATTTTACTAAGATAGAGCTTTATTTCTGTGGTGCATACCCAAGTTTCTTTTAAGTATCAAACAAAGTAAATATTCTATAAGCCAAGTATTACTTTTACAGCCCATAATGCACAGATCATTGGTGTTCTGTAGTGGGAACAACCTCACTTGAGGCCACAGGCCAGGAAGATGTCTCCTGCTCCCATTATACCCTTTTCATGTGCTTAACTACCCTTGTAATCAATGCAGAGTCCATAATTTATGCAAGACATGATTTAAAAAATCATCATATTGTGTCTCAGTTTCAAGCATGATTTTACCTTTAAAGAGTACTATTAATTTTTCTTTAGCTACTGCATAAATGGTTTGAAATTGAGGGAGTTCTGGTGATGGGGCAATGGGATCACCTCAGCTCCTGAAACAATGCCACAGAAACTGCCCTTTTCCCAGGAAAAGTTATTAATCTCACAGTTAGCAAGACTTTTGCAGGTAGTGCTGCTTAGAGCTGTTCAATAAAGGAGCTTTTTGTGTCACATGGATGAGTTCTAGTCTTGCTGGCACTGGATGCCTGATTTTGTTGGATTTCCTCAGCAGCAGCTTGGAGTGCAGCTTTTGGGGTTCCAGAGGTATCAATGCACAGCTTGTCCTCACATTAGTGATTTCATTTGGCCTTAGGAGGAGGCAGAGAGGCTCCACTGGATGGGGATGTCCAGCCCTTTCTCAAAGTATTTGTAGCCTGGAGATCAGATTATTCATGTATTCTCTGCTAGCAGGTGTGGCACACTGAATTTCAGGCCTGGAGCTGTCTTATTTTTGGATTGATCACAGCAAATCTTGTGCCTGTAATCTCACTGCTGATCATGGCAATAGTCTCTACTTGGAAATTCCCCAAGCTCCAGATAGAAAATAGCAAGGCCACAGCAATCTGCCTCTGAAGTAATGTTCTCCATGCCTGTGGTCAACATTTTGCTTTGGAGAGTAATTCATCCTTGCAGGTTGTGGTCTGTACAGCCCTCAATTGTCAGCACGCCTCTGCTCTGAGCTGTAGCTTTGTGTTGTTGCAAGAAATTACAGAGGCTGTGGTTTCATTCTCCCTGACTGCTTTTGGGGCAAACATTCTATGTCCAAGAGCTGAGTGCCCTTTATCTCATACAACAGAGAAAATGCACGTGTGAGAGACAGATGAGATGCAATAGGTGCAGCCCTATATTCAAAACGAGGTGTGTGGAATAGGATCTACAGTCTGAGTGCTCTCTCTGCACAGCAGAGGACACATGGCTGGAGAGGCCCTTCCTCCAGGATCTGCCAGGGCTAAATTTAAACAGCCTATGCTATTGCTTAGCTGCTTACCAGCACATTTGTTGTTTTACTTTATGTTACTGTAGTTAGCAGAATTTGGAGATATCAGTTGCAAGCTATACATGTGGTCATAGCTTGTTGTTAACCTTTTAACTGAAAAGGTAGCATTTTGCTCTACAACCAATTGGTTTTAATTTAAAAAAGAAAGAAAAAGAGCCAAAAGCACAGACCATGAGTGATGGGAGCATATGCTTTTGATAACTCAGTGCTAGGGAGGATGTTGTGGTCAGAGTAGAAGTATTTCATTTAGAGGATTAAAGGCACAAAATCTTTGTTAATTCTGATGGCCCAGGGCTCTTGGTCAGACAGGGAGGGAAATGTAGGTACTTGGGAGCAGGGCCTGTAGCAGAGTCCTGCTGTTAGGTTGGTTTTGGTTGACATTTATTTGCCTGAAAAAAAAAATTATATATAGCCTATACTTAGAAAGAAAAACATGAATAATAAAAATAAAAACAAGCTAGGGGTCTTAAAGGGAGCTGGGATACAGCCTCTGTTGAGACTCATCCTAAATATTGTTTTAAAGGTGCTTCCAGCATTAATTGCAGAGTGTGCTTCTTTTCAAACTGGTATCTTGTCAGTGAATGGGGAAATTTCAGTATCTATTATTAAAAAATTAAATACCTTGACAAGGAGCTTTGTCCATGCAGTGGTTCAGGATACAGATGTGAGCTGGCTGTGCCCCTCTGACAGCTGCAGAACAGGACTGGCTCTTCAGGTGTGCTGGGAGAGAGTTACAAACATTGCTCAGGTTTGGGGAAGATTCCTGTGGAAAATGAGGGGTTTTTTTGCTTTTTAACAGCTGCATGTCAGTGTTGCTCACAGTCATCAGAGCTCTGAACTCCTCTCCTTCCCAGTACAAATGAAACTCGTACTCCATACTCTGTTGCAGGAATGAGCCTGGAAAACCCTCTGGGCTGTTCAGGAGAGGCTCTAGCAGGGATTTGTGGTGCGTGGTCAGAGCAGTCCCTTCCCAAGGCCGGGCAGTCAGGGGTGCCTGCAAAGAGGGAGCAAGAGCAAGTGGTGCTTGGAGTGACACTGAGGGGCTGCAAGCAGCAAGGAACGAGGCTGTTTTTCTAATCTTTGTGAAAGCTCAGTTGTTGGGAGTATAATCTTTGTCTGTCTCTCCATTTTCTCCCTTTTCCCCCACTTAAATCACTTTTTAATAATGCTGCAATGTTGCGCCAATCTTTCCTTTTGGTGCACTTAGCAAGCAGTCCCTGTGTGACTGCTGACCTTTAGCTGTGAGCCAGGAAATCTGTCCTTTCAGAATTGTTTCATGTTTTCAGGAAATATCAACAAGCCAAAACAAAAAAACCTTGGCTTTAAGTCCACACTGCACAGTCTAAAAATGATTTGTAACTCTCATAAAATCTGTGATTTTTAAGCTGTGACAATCAAATGCAGATTAAAAATTTTGTGTTTTATAACTGGCTGGTCATTGGAAAGCTGATGTCATGTAAAAGCTTTCATAATGTCCAGTCTTGGTAGCTGGTAACTGCATATGCAGAAACACAGACCATGCAGATAATTAACATTATTTGAGAGTTAGTTTCAGACAGTTACATATTTCTTATGAAGATGAATCATTGTTTTAAATGTTACAAGGTAGGAAACGTCCTAGAAGCTGTTACACATTGATGGTTAAATTTTTACAGATTTCTAAAGGTCCCTTGTTTAAAGTTCAACCAAATGTGTCTTTGTCAGAGGAACTGAATTATATAACCCTCAGTACCTACAGCTGCAGCCCCTAAGAGCACTGTTGGAGAGAGGCATATATAAATATTTTTGTTTTACATTCTTATATACTGTGAATGCTTAAGGAGTCTGATCAGGAGGTTGTGGAGTAAGCCTAGCAGGCAGAGCTCTGTTCTGGACTATAAAATCCTGACCTGAATCTGAATTTTGCTGGCATTTTCACAGTTGATGAGTCCATGGACCAAGCCCTGATGACCTGAAATGTTAAAGTATCTGAATTTGGTGGCCCATGCACCAAAGAGAGATGCAGGACTTCTCTGTGCAGGAAATGATGGACACAAGACCTGAGCAAGGGTTTTCTGGGTCACCAGGGCTGCAGTGGCTGTGTCCCCAGATGTGTTGTCCCGTTGCTCCACACTTG